CGAACCTAATATCCAATGCCTAGGCCGCGGCAGAGGAAACAGTTCGGTAAGTCGCGATGCGAAAGACTTGACGGAAGTGAGAAGAAAACTTCGCCGAGATAACATTGGATCTGTAAACCAAAGTCCCAGGCGCCGAGCGGGTCTCCAAATCACGTTGACTTGGCGCGACGTGGCTAAGTCACGCACCACCTGGCTGGGATTCTTCATAGAACACTGCAAATACGAAAGAACACCATTCTCATCTAGGAACTATCGAACGGATTTATGATCGAAAGTTCACGCTGTGGCAGGGTCGCTCGGTCCAAAGTTCCAAAATCAGATCCCGTTGGCTCACCCCTGAACGAACCCCTGTCGCTGGAGTGGCGAGCATGTTGAAGGCGTCATGATGTTTACTGTTAGTCGTAAACGGGTTTTGAGTCTTGTTGTGTTTGCAAACCCGTCTAAGAACTCATGGTACTTCAGTTGTCAACTTAGCCGCCTGCTACTTCGCAATACTTCAATCATGAACAGAAAGCAGCGTTTCTCAATTGCAGGTAGTCCATGCCCCATGTAATTCTCAAGAACTTCTCAAGACCCTAGAACTTTGACATCCTGCAGGGTTTCCACTCTTTAAAGAGAGAGGTTGGGGGACTTGTTCATTGACCCCTTGGGTTCGCTCTTGTTACTGTGACAACCAAACTCGGCTTCTGACCAGATTCATGACTTTGAAATTGGTTCCACGGGCGGATAACTCCGTATTTACAATCATTGATCTGACATATATATAAATTATCGCATTTCATATCTTGGTACCGTTGCATAGTACGATCTCAGAAAGCGCCTCTGCATCACACCTGGGGTTTCTCGGGAACTCACAAATTGTCGATCGCAAAGAACGTAGTTTTAACAGCAAGATGACCGTATGCAGTTTCGACTAACGTCGTAATAAAAGACATTATGTAGAATAACCGGAGCCATGTAGTTCACATTTCAACTGATCGAACTGATTCTTAGCTACTTGAACTCGTCGTCCGGGGCGGTGACATTGCAGACGATGAGATCGATGACTCTAAGAACGGCCACTGTGCGATGTGGGGAAAAAAAAGGAAAAAAAAAAAAAAAAAAGGAAAAGCAGTAGAAAGTCACGGGGGGAAACCTTTGATCTCACTTCTAATTTCAAAAGCCCTCGATGGCTGTGCTCGGTCTTCTCAATTGGTTTTCTCTATCTTCCCTCTACGCCCAAACTGACCAACGGTATCTCCAGAAAGCCAGCCTTACTGCATGCCTGACGATACGGTCTGCAGATAAGTATGCAATGTTTCTACCTGCCCAAAGTTTCTCTACTTTCATTCGCAGACATTCACCTTGGTCCACAAAAATGGTCTCGTTGCGAGCGCATTCATGCATGTTGGTGTTTGTTGGTGCATGCTTCCCCTGTAGGCCAAGAAGAGGACGCCGGGGATCTTGTTCCGTCTGGTTAGAAGTCCGAGTTACCCCGCCATATCTTCTTCAATGAAGTCTTCGTTGTCTCTTCTTCAACACTGGATACTAGTAGTTATTATTCGTGGCGACACGTTACATTTATTGAAACGATCAAGATGGCCCAGACGCAGCTCAACCCCGAGGTGGTTTTAGCAGTCGATGAGGTATTTGTACTCTCAACCGTCAATAACTCATAAGCTTATTGGCTTTCAGAATGATGACAATAGATCTGAACTTGGGAGCGTGAGTTTGAGCCTCAAGCTGGCACAGGAATGCTACCTTCGTGCTTATGTGCAATCTCATAGAGCATCGCCTCATCGAGCACGAGCCTGCGGAGCTCCCTCCTCGATTATCGCGTGGAGAATGGCCGCACTTACCATCGGTACAAGGACGGAAGTAAGTTCTTTGTTCTGAAAGCGAGATTTTGATGTATTCTGACAGCTGTACCAGAATACAATCTTCCCAATGACGAACGAGAGAGCGACAGGATGGGTAAGTTGGTTCTATGAACCAGGGAGACTCAAGCTAAGTACTGGAATAGATCTAGTCCACCAGCTGTGGCTTCTCACGCTCGATGATCGACTTGGTGTTGCCCCGCCATGCAGAGAAGGTACCACTGTCGGCCGAGTACTTGACGTCGGAACGGGGACAGGGATTTGGGCATTGAATTTTGGAGACGAGCACCCGGAGGCTGACGTAGGTGTTCTATCGGCTCCCTGCTACCAACCTTACGCGATAGCTTCGCTGCCAGCTGACAAGATGCCTTTGAACAGGTCTATGGAAATGATTTGTCCCCGATCATGCCCGGCCAGTGAGTAAAATCTCTCAAGGGGCTTTACAACTCTAAAGTGCGGGATCCGCTGACCATTCTAAATTTAGTGTTCCGCCAAACGTTAAATTTGAAGTCGACGACATTGAGGAGGAGTGGATATGGTCCCGGCCCTTCGAGTACATCCATAGTCGGCTCATGACTTCGAGCGTTAGCGATTGGGAGGTGTATCTGCGAAACTGTTACAAGTGAGCTACAACTTATTCCTGATCATCCATCGCCTGTCCGATAGCCTTGAGCTCGAAGACTGACTCGATTCCGAACGTGGCAGCAGTATTGAGCCTGGCGGTTACCTCGAACTGCAGGAGATGGACCTCTTTCCCCGCTCCGACGACGGAACGCTCAAAGCCGACAGCGCGTTCTTGAAGTGGGCAAACTTCCTTCATGAAGCTTCCGTCAAGTTTGGGCGCCCTTATGTGGAGATTGCTCAGATTAGAGATCTGATGGCTAAAGTCGGCTTCGAGGATGTTACCATGAGCGTCTACAAATGGCCGTCGAACAGTTGGCCAAAGGACACTAAATACAAGGAGCTGGGGATCTGGAACAATGGGAACGTTCTATCCGGCCTCGAAGCCTTCTCCATGGCGCCATTTACCCGCGCCCTGGACTGGAAGCCTGCAGAAGTCAGCGTCTTCCTCATTGATGTGCGCAAGGACGTCAACGATAGGAGTATTCACGCTTACTGGCCAATGTCAGTGTTGAGGTTGTTTCATAATGATTGTGTGCTGACAGACTTAGGTATTGCGTTGTTGGCCGCAAGCCGGAAGCCACTGCTTCACCTGCTGCTGCTTGAACCAAAAGACGACGGATCTCGGGTCCACCAGCTTTGGCATATGCGAAGACTTTCCTCACCTCTACTATTGGGTCTCTATATAACAACAAGAGACGCTCCCTATACTTCTTATGTTAATATGCTTGTGAATCGTAAACCCACTTGCTCTTTGAGATCAGGGGGCACGGCCACGAAGCCAGTGGCAAGCTCAGGTAAAGATACGGCCATCCTTATCACGCCAATAGTCCAGCATGTAATCAGAGAAATCTGAGTATTGAAAGAAATCGACTTTCTCCAAGTTGGTTGGCTATATCAGTGAAGTTGCTCTCTAGAAATGCTTCTGCCTAGAAGAGCCATGTAAGGGCAGGGATTCTGCCCTGGAACGGCTGCTGGACATTGAAGCAGCGTTCTTGTCCTCACCAACCAAAGCAACTCCGCATCTGCACAAAATCCCCAGAAAATTCGGCTGGAGTAGGACGCCGAATCATCACACTCGCAGTGGCGGAGACTCGGCCGGTCCATTGGGCTCCCAACCAGACGACAGCCCATTCTCGCATGCAGAGACTGAGCTTACTGCGTGCCATGCCGGTCCCGTAAAAGTCCTCAAGAAGACCTTTCCACCAACAAGAAGCCCCCGTTTAAGGTGAAAACTCGCCGGCCACGTCTATGTAACCCGCCGAGGAGCAACGCCAAGAGCACCCCCCGATGCACGGGTGAAGCGATTCCCGGCTTCGCTGTCAGCTGTGCTGGGGAACGCGCATGCGTGATGGTGTGAAGCGTTGTGTAACACAGCATATATGGGGTCCAGGCCACAGACGCGCGTTTAACTCGACAGAGAGACCCCGCGGCGAAGATCGACGGTCACACCAACTTGTCGCAGCGCAAAGGAACCATGACAGGTCGTTTGTCCAACGGGCATTATTCCAGGCTCTTTCTTCTAACGTATTCTGCCGGACGTAGCAGCTGGAGTATCAGGCAAAACCGGGTTTTGCATGATCTGAGGCCACTCGGCCCCCTATACAATTCCACAAAAAGTCCGAGGGTCCGGGATTGGACCGCCGTTTCTCGGGTTTGACAGACCCACTCAGCCGGGCCCTCGGGCCCGGATTCGACTCATCACACCATGTACCTCTGAACTCATCCAAACGATCTTATGGTACAGGTCTAGTGCATAGATGGTGTCACGTTGGGGTTTAATGAGATGCAAGTCTCCTGATTCGATAATGTTTCATTCGAACGTCCAATTGGGAGTCTCCAACACCATCGACCTCTGAAAAGTCAACGATGGTCCTGCCAACTACGAGCTCGCTTTCGCCTTCATACATGCTACCATTCTGTCAGTCATTCTCATACGATGGGTAACGTTGCAGCGGGCGGAGCCTCTGCCGGGCTCTCTCTCTTTCTTAATGATGATGATGACAACATGAGCGCGCGCGCACGACAAGCATAGCAAAAGCACCACCGAGCTCAAGGCAGCGACATTTCGAACATGAAGACGTACCTAGGTGATTGGACAGCAGACCTGTTGATAAGCGGCGTTGTGCGTCTCTCATTGGCCCGAGAACGACGGGAAAGAAAAGTTCCTGACGTGAGGACGGGTTGCGGGCCCGCTGTGAGGACCAGGTGGCATGCAGCCCTCCTGCATGGCCGTTCTGCCGGGATGCGGCACGTATTCCACACACTGCACCGCACACGGGACGGTTCGAGCAAGGCTTCTAGGAGGGTCGGTCCCTGGATATTCCGAGGATCATGGCTCGGGAGGTGTACCCTTTGCATGTGCTCGAGTGCTCAATTTCAAAGTCCGAAGATGCCTGTGTAACAATGCCTTTGCGCCTAACCAATGTGCCCGCCATCGCCCTAACCCTTGACGCCATACCAAGTCAGTTTACAAATCATTGGTGTGGTGTCCCTTTTACCGCCAATGTAACGTCCAGTCCGTTACACATACGCCAAGTCTAACAGAGGGCATCCGTACGCATGCTCCCTCAGCAGAGCCCTGAGAAGACCACGCTCGTCTTGTTGCCGGATTCGCAGACCTCTCGCGTCTAGGAGTTTGCAGAGAGCAAGGTCCTTCTCGGTGAGGCGATCGACATGCTCGGGCTCGGGCCCAATGACGAGGGACAGACACTGCCCATAGTAGCCGCGATCAAAGAGGATACCCATTGTGACCAGATCCATCTCGCAGAGCTTGGACATGACGGACCCCACCAGACATGCCCATATCATGACCGGTCTCAGGGCCTCCATGGACGGCAAGCCGTCGTCGAAATCACCTTCGCCGTCATCTGCTTCCTTAGACTGCCGTTCTTGTAGCTTTTGCGTGATCTTGTGCACCGACGCTGAGAGGAGGTTCAGGGGCACGGAGTAAACCATCGGATTGCGCGGCTCGTCTGGTACAATCGTCTCAAGGTATACAATCGCAGCCGTGCGCAGCACCGGCTCGAGAAGATTCTCCGCAGGAGAAGGCACCGGTTTGGTCTTGTATAGACTGCGCACCATGGCCGCGGCGACGGCTTCGGAGTTCCCGAGGTCGGCGGCGACGGTGAGCTCGTCGAGCTCCCCCAGAGAGTCGTTGAGGCAATCCTCACGGAGTGCCCCGCCGTACAAAACAAGCTGGTACTCACACCAAAGCCATTCTTCAATAAAGGCTTCTGGGTTGAGAAGAACTTCCCGGTTGGGGCTCGCGAACGCCAGGCGCAGCACGCCCGCGAACAGAGCTGTTGATATCATGGCATTGGCGAGGTATGACTGAAGCCCGCACTGGTAGAGAATGTTGGACATTTCATTGACAATTCTCGTGCGAACCTGATCCGGCAGTGCATCCGTAGTTGCATTGAAGAACCTGGGATAATCAAGGTACGGTAAGAGGCCCAGGTAGACGGCCCCTTTAACGTCAGCCCTGCATGGAAAAGGTCAGCAAAACGTCAACTATTCACACAGGGTGACTTGCCTTCGTATCATGTTTAGGAGGTAGTTCCATTCCCTCTTCATCCCCCCTTCTAGTTCGATCATGTGCTTAAGACCCTGCATGTGAACCTTCCAATGATCATATCTTCCCACGTTCCAACCCGTGATGGCTAACTGAGCAACACATTCAAGCATCCCTTGGTCGAAATCTCTCTTGGTGCGGTCTGAAAGCCTGTCATTAACCAGGCTACACACCTTGGAGACGTGGTACAGCAACTCTGGAGATGACCATTCGCCCTGTAGAAACATCTCCGCGTAGCAGGCCGTCATGAGCACGGCATTCAGGCTCGTCTCGCTGGACTTGATTCTTTCGATGAAAGCAGACCCTCGAACCGGATTGTATTCGAGAATCTGCTCGCACGGGTACATCTTCGTCGGGGCCAGCTTGAGGTAGAGTTGTACGAGACAATTCTCCCTCTCGGAAAGATTCCCCATCCACGAGGCCAGCCATGGGATGGGGCTCCGGGGAATGCGCCACGTGTCGTCAAAAATGGCAGCCTCGACGGTTCCCTGCTGTGCCGAGATCTCCATGACGAAGCCGGGCTCTTGGGCTTTCTTCGATGCCCTGGCTTTGCGCACCCGGTACTTTTCATCATCCGACGAGTTAGGAGAACTCTTGCCGCGTTTTGACACGCTTCTGCGGGGCTCCTTTTGTTGGCTCAAGAACTTGTATTTCTGGTCCAGTGGTCGCGAGGGGTCTGAAGCAGTAGGTTCCTCGTGGCTTGAGCCCGAAGCCGCGGAAGTATTGATGAACTGGGTTCCCTGGTGTTTCGACTTGGAGACTTGGAGCCCCCTCCGCGTTGAGACAAGATTCCCATTGTGGACAGTGGCGTTGAAGTGGTCCATGTTGGTAACAAACATTGCAAAGAGGTATGCAATTGACGGCTGCTGAAACTCTGCAGCCCTTCAGGGCCGACCTCCTTCAAACATCGTCTAACATGATGGATACAGACAACTTCTTATGGCATCACTTCCGAATGAGTTGTCTGTCCACTTAGAGAATCACGTATGCTTCGCCAATGGGGTTGCCCTATCGTGGAGATGGACAACGTCGTGCATATTGACTGGCGGCAATTCCGAAAGAGGAAATGTTTCCTCTTCGGGTGCCGGTGCGGAGGATTCTTGGTATAGAGACTCTTGCGCCTGCGAGATGCATGGTTGCGTGCGGGGAGCGACGTAGCTTGTCGAACCACGAAACATGTTCGAATGGAGAGTTGTCGATTGATCTTTGCAAAATGCTGCTGCCTGGCTGATGTCTCCGGACCCTGGCTGCAGTTCCCGTGGAAGACCGGGGTCCGGCCTGACACCCACCCGACGTCGCCCCCCGGCCGGCCTCTGCGGACTGGGGTTCTAGAGCTGTCTAACACCTTCGTGAGCCATTTACAGCCCCCACTACCAAAGGTGTGACGCAGTGAGAAGCTAATCGTCCCTGGTCGTAGGCGACGTTGAATGCATGTCAGACGTTAGGCGCAACGAGAGGTTTTTACGTCCGTACACCGCAAGCCCAAACGATTGCTCTGCTCAGCCAGTCAATCAACGGAACTCGCTCCGTCCGGCAGTGCTCCTCTCCACATCCAGTTCGTTATCTCGTGCTCCGGCTCGCAAGTCGCTGTGTTATGGCGCAAAGGTCGGCCCTATGGACACGGGGCGCTTATTTGAAATCTCGTGTTACACAAGCGCGCATACCCAGGATTCCTTTACGCCTCCGCCCGATGTCTATGGCTGTCCGCCGTCTCGATCACACCGGACGTCAGCATCCAATGCCTCGGGCCCGAGACACGGCACCACAGCGAATTGCTGTCCATGGCGGTGACGATGTCAGCGTTGCATCTCTCGTTCTGCTAATAGAATACCTGACCCTTCATCAACACCCGCGCAGTACGGTGGAGATCTGCTGACTTGATTCTGCTGCCCTCAAAGGTGGTCCCGATATCCACTTTCCCACTCGGATGCCCTATAACGACAGACTTTCTTGGCTTGCTGCCAACAATCTGGGCCGCAAGAGTTCCCGGTATCTGACTTGCCGCTCCGAGGCACAGCGCCAGCGTCAGGGGAACAGCCTTGTGGGCTTGTCCCATAGACATGGCTAGGCAGCGAATATCGACATCGGGTGAGTGAGTATCGGAGAAAAGGAGTACGATCTTGGGCACGCTCTCCACGCCAGGATCCAGGCCCATCGCGGACGCACCTGCACGCCGAATTTCGTCCAAGGCGGCCTTCAGGCTTGGATCTGCTTCAATGGCCTGAGGTGTGAGGTCCTCGGCAGAGGGAATCCCCAAATCACAGGCGCGGACGAAGACGCCGGGGTTGCTGACATCCACCAGAGATGCCTTTATGGACCTGTCGTTCGATAACTGCAGCCAATCGCAAGCATTTCCTGTAGGAAGGGCCTTGCCCGTCTTAGCCCCGGCAGGATCCAAGAAGCTCAAGGTGATGGGTGAGTTGGTGCCAGGAACACCGTCCATAGTGTAGCCGCCGTCAGGGCAGTATCTGGGCGGGTTTCCATCGACTCTGAAGCGGGAAAGAATGACTTTGGACGTGTTGGTGTTGAAGATGCGCACGGCAGCATACTTATGACCGTCAAGCTCCTCGATCTCAGGATTGTCGACCAGAGACTCATCCAGGCTCATTGGGCCAACGGCAGACGACATGTTGCCGCAGTTCCCTGCCATGTCCAGGCTGCCATCCTTGATGCCGACCTGGACGAAGGTGTAGTCCAGGTCAACATCGGGCCGGGACGGCGGTGATAGTACGATGATCTTGGAGGTTGAGGAAATGCCGGAGCCGATGCCGTTCAACTGTCGCCCGTAAGGATCTGGGGACCCCATGGCGGCCGGGAGGACGGTGTGCCAATCATTTTGCGGGGGCAGGTCCTTTCGGTGGATGATCAGGCCGTTGGACGTGCCGCCACGAACGAAGATGGCAGGGAACGAGCGTGATGAGTGTAGACGCGTCGATATCGTGGCGTTGAAGGGCGCCAACAATCCAACATGTGACCGAGGCCTTGAGAGGGCTTGAAGAATACCACTGCGGGCATAGGTCGACATCTCGTGGCTGCGGAAGAAGCTAGCTGTCGATGTTGAATCTCAGGTGTTGATGTAGCGTGAAAGTTGATTGTGGTACAACTCGCTAGTGGTCGCAACCGGTTGTACAGGGGTATTGTTGGGGGCGGCACTTCGCTGTAGGGCAGGCAGGCTTAGTACAGGGTACTAAGCAGTTGCCAAGCCGGGAAGCTCAGGCTCGACCCCGATGCCGAAACCGATCTTGCTTCCCGTGCCGTCGTGGTGGGCACACTCTCTTTCGACATTCCAGAAATGCACACATGCTTTTTGGGCCAGACATTGACAGACTTGATAGTAGATGGCGTAGGGACAACGCGAGATGGAGTTTCGAAATCCTACGCAATCGAAGAGGAAGATGGCCGGCCGATACATGCCCGATTCGGCACCGAAGCGAAAGCCACCCGGAGTTGAGAGGCTTGTAAGACCGTCTGATGTTCGAGTCCCAGGAGTCTGGAGATAAGCACCAAGCGTCCGGATTTGTGTTCGCGTTACAGAAAACAAGCTTAAACGGGATTCATTGAAACCTGTGTCTATAATAAAGTGTTGTATCCCCTCGTCCCGTCTCTTTGCTCCCCCAATGAACGACATCTCATCAATTCCCGCTCACAGGCTGTTCCAACGAGCATCATTAATCCATACTCAACCGCATCTCATAAAAGGACCGAAATCACGCCCCAAAGCCACTCACCATAATGAACCCCTACGTCGAAGTCACCCTCAGCTGGCTCCTCAAATCCTCCCGCGGCCACGACGCCAAGGCCTTCTACACCTCCCCGGCCTTCGCCGCCCACAAGGAGCAGACCCTCACCGTCACGTCCCCGGACTGCGGGCCCTCGCCCGCGGAGCTCAAGCCCGAGTACATCAACGAGGGCGGCGGCCGCATCCCCGCCCTCGCGTGGACGGCGCCGCAGGACGTCGAGGCGCGGGTTAAGGAGTGGCTCATCGTCTCCGAGGACCCGGACGCGCCTCTGCCGACGCCAATATGCCACGGGTGAGAGAACCTGTTGTGTTGTCTTATTGCATAAGCGCGAGACACGTTTGCTGACGGTGAGAGTGCAGAGTATATGGCGGCATCCCGTCTGAGAGGAGGGAAGTCACGGCCAAAGATTTTGAGATTGAAGATGAGAGCAAGTCGCTGCTCAAGGGTGGTTTTCACTGGGGCAAAGGGCGGCGGGAGGGTGTCTACGTTGCTCCGAGGCCGCTGATGAACCATGGGCCTCACAGATGTGAGTCTTTTTGCCACGCAATGCTGCTGGAAGTGCTCGCGAATTGACACTTGCAGACTTCTTCGAGGTTGTGGCGCTGAGTGAGCCGCTGGACAAGTCGATGCTCGAGGCCCGGGCGACGAAAGAGCAGGTTGCGGAAGCCATCAACGGCAAGGTTTTGGGCTGGGGTTTGTGGATTGGAAGTTGCGAGAGGAGGTGGACTTGAATGCCTGGGGCTCCTTCTTCACACAATGTCTTCAAATCACCGGAGAGCCGTCTTTAAAGCTGTACATTTTTCATTTTATCCACCTACTTAAGTCACTTCACCTAATACCACCGAGTTGCCCTCGAACCATCTGTTACTCGGTCTGTTCTCGACAGAACAAGCAGGGATAAAAACAACAGCGCACGCCCACTCGAAATCATGCGGATTGAACTCACCCATACGCCGGCTTGTGCTCGGGAACTCATTTCTGTGAAAAGATAAACCCCCCCCCCCCCCCCCCTACGAAAGGCCCAAAAAGTTGGGCTCCCCCGCGCCCCCTGCGGTCCAGTCAAAGTCGTCCATCAGCATCGACCAGTCGATATCCTGTAGCAAGTCACTCGTCGGCAACACGTTGGCGTTATTCGCATCCGTCGCGGCCGCTGCCGCAAGGTCAGCAACACTGCCTCCAACAAGCCCCGCCCGTCCCCTACACTCACGCGTCGCTCCCGCCGCGCCCCCTCCCACTCCTCCCGCTCCTGCTCCCACCCCTCCGCCCGTCTGCCCTCCGGCGCCACCGCCCTGCTGCTGCCCCATCCTCGCCTGGTCCAGCTCCTTCTTCCACCGCCGCAGCGTCCCGAACGCCAGCACCGCGCCCGTCCGGTGCGGGTACCGCGAGATGGGCGCCTCGAGCGGCGGCATGATGTGCCGCAGGCTCCAGTACGACTCCGTCATCCGCAGCACGCGCATCGCGAAGTCGCCCTCCTGCACGGAGCACCGGCGCAGCGCCTCCTGCGAGTTCTTGATCGACACCTCGGCGTTGGCGAGCTCGAGGTCCGTCGCGTGGCCCGAGAGGAGCACGTCGAAGACGATCGTCGCGGCGTCGAGCACCGTGCGGAAGACGTGCTGCGGCGCGTGGTAGAGGAACCGCTGGGAGCCCTCGAGGCGCAGGGCGAGGTTGATGATGGCTTGCGCCGTGCTGTATGCGCGGTTCACGTTGTGGCGGAAGGTCGACTTGTCGGCGGTAGACAGGGGTATGAAGTAGTACGACTGCAGTTCGAACTGCACAGCCAGAATGGTAAACAGGTCCAGGTCTGCCGTGTTGTTAGTCATGTTCGTTTGATGGCAAAGGTTCCGCGTACCCGTGTTGTGCCGAGATTGCAGCTGCCTCAGCTTGTTCAGCTCGTCCTCCAACAACTGTATGACAGAGTCCGAAACGCCCTCGCCCTCCTCGGCCACGGAAAACATGGTGCGGTTAAGTCGGTTCGAAAACTTTTGCATCTCATACAACAGACCAAAGTACCCCAAAGCATCAGGCAAAGACCTGCCACCGGCGGCTCGGTTGACGGCTTCATTGAAGAAGCCTGCGGGCGGGGGCAAGCCATTGCTCGAAGCCACCCTGATTTCAAGTCAGCCAACCAACGACTCGACACTCGACACTCAACCATACCTCTGCGCCTGGATATTATATCCCATCCAGGCAAAGCACGCTTCCTCGTCCGTGATGTCCGTCTGACGGTTCGGTCCGATGCAGAATTCGGGATGGGTGCCACGCCCTGTATGTAGGCCAAGCAGCAACGCCGCATTCTGCGCGATCGCCACGTACGAAGCGGACGGGTCGTTTAGGAATCGTATTGTCGGCAACGGCCATGTACACAGGACCAGCAGCGCGTTGATGGTCGATATGCTTATCGGCGGGTTCGACACTGCGTTCCACACCTCCTTTGGCAGGTTTTCAACCAGGAACTGGAAGAGGCCGGGGTCCTTGGCGTACCGCCTCGACGATACCGCAATGATTGTCCAGAATAGTATGGGGCTCAGCTTGTACAGCTTATCCGGGTCCTGAGACCGTACAATAGGGAAGTACGGGTGGAAATGTTCAAAATAGCTGCACATTCATCAGCACTGCGACATACGTCTACAGGAAGGGCGGTGAACTTGCGTGTCAAAATAGAAGTCAATATCCTCACTCGACAGCACTTTAGAGCCCAAAGCCCTTGGCTGCGCCGGATGCCGCGGCGGTCCAGTCGGCGTCGTGTGCGACGTCAACGTCGGCGTAGGGACCTGCTCTGCCGTCCGGGAGTGAGGAACAGGCGACAACGCAGGAAGACTCACCCGACCGGCACTCGGAGGCGGCCGGTCCGCGAATGCGCTTGCGGGATACGCCGAACTTGGGCTCGGCAGCGGAAGGGCGGCCGGGGGAAGCACGCCGGCGGCGGAGACGGGACTGGGATTGACGGCATTCTTGATCGTCTGGACCTCCTTCTCCAGTTGTTCGAGCTTACTGCCAAGGTCACACGAGCACGCATCAGATTACATGGTTCCTTGCCTCATTTGAGATGAACTTGAAGAGAAACGGCAGGGGGAAGGGGAGGGAAGAGCAAGCAACCTTCTCCTGGTTATGCGCTTGTGGGACTTGTCAATGACACACTGGATCCCGAGCTTCGCGCAACGCTGACACGGCTTGTTCGGCGTCAGGCTTGCATTGCATTTCACCTGTTGCGGTCGTTCCAACGGCTCCAATTAGCGACGAGGTACTTTTGTCTTGAGAGTATGTATATGTATTACACGGCAAATGAGACAAGCTGGGAGGCTGAGGGTTTGATAACGTGGTACCTGAGCATGACACGGCGACGTCGGAAGACCAATTGGAAGTGAATCCGGAGCAACATCGCTCAGGTACAGGGCACATGCGGGGAGGAGCAGTCATGGCTGAGGGAACAGAGAGGGAGAGTGTAACTAATTCATCGAGGGAGTCAAAAGCAACGTGAACCCACCTTGGAGTCTCGACAACTGGTGCAGGCTGTATTACGCCGGATCCGGTTCGGCACGGGGGGACTGGGTGAGGTATCCCTATGTGCCGAGCCGGGGCTCTTGAGCGGCGGGTCCATGAGTTTGTTTGGTGTTTTGGGGGTTCCCAGGCGGCGGCGGTCGTGCTGTGGTGGTGGTGGTGGTGGTGGTGGTGGTGGTGTAGGGTGCGCCAACGCGTGCGTGCACCGCGCAGCGCAGCGCAACGCAACGCAACGCAACGCGCCGAAGTGACGTAAGGTAGATCTCAGCCCAGGTAGGTGTACCTTGGGTAGATGGTCTAATTTATTCCTTTGTGCAGGGCGTAAGTGCGCGGCTCCTCTGCATCCCGTCGTTCCCGGTTGGATTTGCGGCTTCGCGGGAGGTTGAACTGACTGTGACGATGGGAAGTGGAGAGTTGGGTGGGTGGAATTCGGTGCGGTTTCGGCAAAAGAAAGATAGGACGGGGGAGCGATGGATGGATGATAAATATGGCGCTGCTCAGTGGACTCTCGCTGACTGCTGCTTGGGAGGGAGGAGAAAAAAGAGGAGGCCGGCGTCATGGGTTCGGTTCACTCAATCGATCACGTGCGCTGACGACCCTCGAAGGATTCCGGCGGTGCCTTGTCGCAGGACAAAGAGCCAAACCGCAAGCCGGAGTCTGGGCTTTTGGGGAGGGTGAGAAACATCGGATTGTCAGGAGCTTCTTTGGAGCTTCTTTTCGGCAGTCAACGATGCACATGTTGTATATCCGACACGACTTTGGCGATGACTTCTTGTACTCAGAGTGAGATGGAATTCAGAGTGAGATGCGTCGTGTCACGATACGTGATATCTACAATTGTTTGATGCCAATACAGCATTCCAGGTTCATTACACACCTGTCCGCCATCCATCGGCGTGCGTCCATTACCGCTCACCGCCCGAGACCCCTTTGATTCCATTTTATGCCTGCCGAACCATCCGCCGTCGTAGACATCATTCATTTCCTAGAGGACAGAAGCCCAGCGACAGAGCCGGTCGACTTCTTCTGGCGAGCCTTGCAGACTGTCTTGCCCGTCTTGTCTCTGCCTTCTACTCCTTCCCGCCTGCCCCTGCTAGATCTACACCTGTGACTGTCGTGTCCTCACCTCCGCCGGGGTTGGTCCAGCTCATATCGCCCATGTCCGTCAGCATGCTCCATGGATCGATGCCGCCTACAGCCTCAAAGTCGATAAAGGATATCGGGTCGGTGCTGGGTGCATATTGCAGCCCCCTCGAGTCCCATGTCGACGCCGCCGCGCCCGACACTTGTGCTTGGATGCTGGTTATGTCAATGATCTCATTGACGTTCCCGTTCGTGTTAGTACTGCCACCCGTGCCATTGATGATGCTGCCGCTGCCGCTGCCGTTGCTGCCCTGGACACCGTCTTCCGGTGTAGTACTTCCCGGTCCGTATCCAGGCGTAGTGCTACTGCTGGCTACCGAATGTGAGGGGGTGCTCTTGTTGAAAGCAGACGGCGGCGACGGCGATGTTGAGTTCGTGCGATGAGGCAGCGTCAGATGCGGTGATGACCCGCTCTTGGGCATCATACCCGTGTTTCTTAGGAACCCAACCGCAAAGCCTCCAACGCCGTCGATTCCATTGCGCGATGCAGGCGGCGCGTTGTTCATATTCTTATTTGAAGGGAATGTGCCGCTGAATGGGCCTGCCTGGGCGTGGTCCGCTTCAGGGCCGGTCGTTAGAGAGGTACGTCTCCTCTTATTTGACGAGTTCTCAGGAGGCGCCCCATTCGCGTTGTATCCGAGAGAAACACTCGGTTTTGACATTGGTTGTGTGAGAGAAACCCCGGATTGCGAGATACCTAAGTTGGAAGGGCAACCCGACTGAGGGGGCACTGGTCCGTTGCACCCTTCGTGCGTTCTCGGATAATTCTCGTAGGCGGTGCCTTTGGGATTGCCGAGAGGCAATCTTCCAGGGAGAGGGGGCTGGATCTCGGTGTGTTTCGATATTGAGCTTCGTGCCAAGAGGGGAATATTCGAGCAAGTCCAGCCGAACGTGTTTTTGTAGTTGTTCAGGCTGGGCACGTCGATGATACCCGATAAACCGTTGCGCTGTATGTCCATGAATACTTGCTGGAGGAACGCCTGGGTGATCAAGTGTCGACGCCCGATGCCTTCCATCGCCTGGACGATGAATTTGAGATTCTGCAAGTCTGCCATCGACAGCCCGTTTTGTGGGTCGCATTTGGCATTGTACACATACACGGAGGCAGCTGAGTACAGTGATAGAGCAACGAGAGGGCTTTTCTATGAGAGGTCGTTAGGACAACAAGAAAACAGGGGCATTAGAGGCGGTCGTCGACTTACGTAGCCGGAGTTCGTGTGACTTGTCAGCTTGACGATGTTGACCACCTCTTCGGCTGCAGTACGCAGTCGGAGTTGTGAAGCAGTCTTGAGTTGTTCAGGCAGTTTGTTTTGCTCTATCCTATCGATCGCGGCGTGGTGCAGGCAGATGATGGATGCATGGAGGTTGAGGTTCGTGTGGACGGCCGTTGGGTCTTTCATGCTCTGGGGCAGACGAAAGCGTTCGGGCAAGAACATGAAGGCACTTGACAAGAGATTATCAATGTCCCTGTGACGCTTCCAAAACTCGCCGTACTCGAAGTCTCCGGGTCGGTCGTTGGGTCTCTCCCAGTGAACATGCTTCAGGAGCATGTTGAAGACGTAACAGATGATGACGGCGCCCGCGAACGTGGAGTACGACGCCCCCTTGAAGGCGTCCTGCATTGTAGACGTCTTCTCTTCACGAGCTGAGTTGAACGCCTCCTCGGACGACGGCAGGTGAGTGGTAATCTATCGGATTAGCGATTTTGTCTCGAGCATGCCAGGAAAGACTTACCTCGTTCGGATCGATCAAAGTCGGCCAGCCCGTTGAGATACTGGCGTGACAGTCGATGCAGTAAGCTCCCCAAAACGCCCGCCTTCTCTCCTCCAGGTCAACCCACGACGTTGGCGGCGCGAGCGTTGGAGCCATCTCCTGGCCATCCCCATCGATGCGATGAAGACCCATCATCTCTACAAGACGCACGCACTTTGCTGAACTCATGGCGGCTCTCGTGAAATACATACACCGCGCTTCGTCTGTCGCAATCAGCGCCCAAGCTTGTGCATGCTGAACCGTCAAAAAGTGCTCGCCATAGCCTCTCATCTCATCTGCGTCTGCGTATTGCCGAGCTCGCTTGTAGAAGATCTCGTGATATTGGGAATACTTTTCATGTCCGTTCGAAGCCATGGCCCAGACGGCATACTGCAGGCACATGGGCGGACGCTTGTGAGGCGCCGAGTAGAACGACTGGAAGTACCTGCCGGGATGGATGATTGGAATGAAGTGCTGCTGTCGCTCGAAGAAACTCTTGTTACTATTTAAGAAAGTTAGACAAATGTTCACACCAAGGGCAAGGGATTGCCCATACAGATCTTCCATCATCTCAAAAGGGGGCAGAGCCTCCGAAAGACCAAGGCCAATCAACTCTCCAGATGACTCGCCAAAGCTGGGCATTTGCGGTTGAGGCTCTGGGATATTATGAGCTGACAGTCCTGCTTGGAGGTCTGCGGTTTCACCAGCAAAGCCGTTTTGCATCGCGATAAATGTGTCGATGTCGACTGTGAAGTCGTCCATACCAACATTGATCCGACTGTCCAAATCTCCTGCTGTTGCAGCGGCCTCATTCATCTTGCCGGCCTCCTTACTCGCCTCCTTGAGAAGGTCTTCCACCTGAGCTACAAATCGTGAGCGACGTCCAGCCACGGAGATACAACTGCCATACCTAGCCTCTCCTCAAGCTCCTTAACGTTTCGTCGTTTGAACGCGGGCTTCCTTCTCGACTCAGGGTACACGCACTCTCCCTTGACTTTCACGCACCGGCTACATGCCGGCTTCACTCGGTCGCACTTGAGCTTCCGGGACCGGCAGGTAACGCAAGCCAACGGCTCGGAGCCCTGGCCGACAGGGCCGGTCTCCGCTTGCTCGCCGCCGTCGGTATCCATGATGCGGCGGCGAAATTTTGCATCCGAGACTGCAGCAGGCGATATCAGCGCTCCGAAAGTGGGCCTCAGCTCCGAACCTGCATCCAGGGGCGGGCTGTGTTGGGTGTCAGACTTGAAGTATACGGATGCAATGACGCAGATGCAATGGCAGTACGTAATACCGCAGACAGTATCAGGTTACCTGAGTTGTCAAGGTCACTGGAGATGTCTTCTCGGGCTATCTCTTCAATGGCCAACACGCTGGCTAGGCAGATGCGTGCCCATCTCGATGACCAATGTCGGACATCTTTCGCGCCGATTGCCCGAGGACGGGACTTAGCGCGCCGTTCTCATTGGTCATCTGCGGAATGCATAAGGTGGGAATTCCGGTGTGGCCAGCACAAGTGGGATTTCCGGCGTTAAGCATTCGTTCCCCGCTGCGATCTCACGTGAGCTGCTGTTTCCTCACGCCAAGTGTCTTCCTTCAATGGTGCTCAAACTGCATCCCGCTGAAGATCGTCAGCCGCCACGTCCCGTCCGTTCTTCCGCTCTGCCGCCGTCTTTTGTGGGTCTATCCGTACATCAATTCCATATCGATTCCACATGGCCTGGCCGAGACATGGCGAGCTTCCGATCACATCGGTGCGCAACCGGCTCCGTCTCGGCCGAGCGGTTAACTCGGTGCCTCTGCCAAGCCTGCCTTTGGTGACCCGTCGATCAGGAACAGCACGCCGACCGCAACCCTGCCGGTCCGGGGGTCTCGGAGGCAAAAGGCAAAAAGGGTGATCGACAGCAGCTCTCGCAGCCTCACCTACATCTGTCACAACAGGTCTGAGCTAATCGCAAACCGTCAAACCGGCTTGTCAGTGTCCCCAGGTGCTAGTGTATCAGGTGGATGTGGCAGCCGAAGAAACACCTGCATTGGCGATGACGAAGTTTTGAGTTCAAGTCGTTGAAAGCTTAAAAATTCCTGTGGCGTCCCAGGAACCGACACCACTGCGCTGGACAAAGTTGCTGTGCATGCTGCACTCTTGGGCCAGGTCAAGGAGCCGAGCGACTGCCATCCCAATTGTGCCGTCGCAGCAAGTTGAGCGCGCAGAGGACTTCAGCGAGCGTCCCTGGCGGTCAGATGGACTGTTCGCACCTTGGTGGGATGATCAAGGGCGATCTTCTGGGACATCATTCGTCAGGTCTGGTGGTCTGAAACTCTGTCCTTCCGCGAAGGATTACGGGAGACTCGGCGAACACGTTGGTGAAGGGCGTCAGAGAACGGCAGCCACTGACGACGGCGTACGCCAGAATGAGCATCAAGCCAGGTCCTCAAGCCCACTGTTTGTTATCGCGAGGCCGATTTGCAACGGGGGCGGGAAATTAACAACCAAGCCCGCCGAGTGATTGCCACTAGCCTTGGTCCCTTTCGGACTAAACTATGGACAAGCGTGATGAATTGACGTCTAGGCGCGCCACATTTCGCATCTTTCCCACGCTTTTCACAACATCCTCGGTCTACTAGAGGGCGCCCCAGAACGAGCCGAAGAAAGGCGAGACGAGACATTCGGAGATAAAAACACGCAGCCACCGCGACTTGACAGCTGCAGACGGCATCCCAGTCTAGCGCCAGCAGCCGGACGACAGCGTTAGACGGCCTAAGGCTGGTGATCGACCGGGCCTGGCCCGAGTGAGCAGTTGACACAATTTGGCGGAGCGACGATGACTGCATGAATGCGGCTAAGAGCTGTGACGGAACGCCGCCAAGGGCCATCTACCCATGGATGAAGCTTGGCCGCCACCGCCTGTTGACTTGGCCAAACGGCCCACGGGATCGACTTTTACGATATCGATGGGCGTTGGAAGGCGCTGGGAATTTGAGAGGCTGTCACCGGTGAATATGTGGAAAGCCAAGGCCCGAAGATTGAAGAAGACTCGAAGCGGGTCTTGCGGTAGTCGGCGCTAGGTGTGCTTGACAAGCCGGCCGGGCCTGGGCTTTTCGGGCTTTGGCGCTCGGCTGGTTGATCAGGATCGACGGTGGTCCAGGCTTATGATCTTCCCGCCTCTTGGTCAGCAGACAACAGTGAATTTGGAGATTCTCGAAGATTTGCAGCATGGGTAGGTAGCTCTGGGAGCTGAAGACTGTGCGCAAGCAGCCAAACAGCACGCTCACCATGGCGGCGAGCGACTGGTGAGGAATCAACTGCCAAGTTGAATGAAAGGGGTAGAAGGGCCTCCGTTAGGTGGTTTCACCAAAAATATGCTGCCCAGCTCACTGCCAATATTCCTTCAGACTTGTCATCTGAGCGCCCTCGTGTTCTGGACAAGATCCATCCAGCCACCTTTCGGACCAAACTCCATCCAGTGAGAGGTGAGGGACAACAGCTATTCGGTTAGGGTACAAGAGACAACGGGGATCGTCGGCCGTTGCGATTCAGGGCAGCCCTTTCCTTAGGACTAAGTTCGAGGAAGAGAGACGAGCCGATGCGGGTTAGGCCGGGGAAGCATGACAAGTAGCTGTTGGTGGTGCAGTGGAGCCAGCGGCTGACGGGTGTGAATCGGGAGGGACGTCAGAGTAAACTATATTTCGGAGAGGGGGGGATGGACAACTCACACTTTGAAAGCTGTCACGTAGTTGAGTTTGTCAAACGATGGCATGCCAGGATGGAGCGATAACTTGCGGCGGTTTATTCCCAAAGAGGCGAGTGATTCGTAGAGAGGGAGTGCGTGTAAGGCTGCAGGTCATGACAGTCGACATGGCCGCGGCCAAGTGGTGGTGATGGCGGCGGATAGTCTTGGCCAGTGCCCCGAGTCAAGGTCTGAGGACGACTCCATTATCATGACAAAACACTCAACGATGGTGCCGATAGTTTGAGGGTGCCTTAGTGCCGAGCAATGCCTTGGGTCAAGACTTGGGAAATGTGGACGGTAAGGTAGGTAGATATTCGAGTTGGCTTGACGGGGCGTCCTATGTCTGACTGGGAATTAGCGTTGCATTGCCTTAGACTGGCCAGGTGCACGACACGTACGTAGCGTAGCGCACTTGGACATGCGTACGGATACATGTGCCTACCAAGTAGGTTGGTCGATAGGAACGTACGCCGTATTGTGGGTGGTGACTGGGCGATATGGGCATGCGCGCATGTTGGGTAAGGCGAATTGGGTTTGAGGCCCTCATTGACCCAGTGACGAGAAGACGATGTGGCAGCCGCTGCACCTGCCTGGGTAAGGTGCCTGCCTACCTACCGCAGTAGGTACCTAGGGTAAGGTCGAGGCACCCGACCTTACTAGTGTCGGGTAAGGAAGGCTAGGGATGCAGCAAGCTGCCCCCCGGGGCCCATGCCGCCATCCAGGGTTGAGGAGGAGATGAATGAGTAGGACTCAATGGCTAGCATGGCAATAGTTGACGTGGTACGGAGTAGTATTTCCCTACTTGGGCGAAGGCGCTGTAGGCGATGTCGTGATGGTTTGGGTTTGCGTCCATGTTGTCAATGGCAGCGGACGGAGCGAGGGAGTTGCTTGAAGCAATTGTGGACTTCCGACACACTGCCTCGAATAAACGGGGAACAAGCAGGGCGTCTGCCAGATTGTGAGATGGGGAAAAGGGCGATCACCGGCGGGTGATAGGCGGAAATAGGCAGACCAGGGCCTCTGGGCAGCCTCAACCGGATCATTCCCCACTTGTCTCCTTCCCGACCCCTTGCGCCGCCTTTGAAGACTTGGCCGTCCTTGCAATATTGGGCAGGACCCAGGAGTCTTTCTCCAAAAAGTCTTCCACACTTGCTTGACTGGGAAGGAACATGAAGCTCTGGTGGATCCCGCGGAAAGGACCCCCAGCCAACCTAAGGCGAACACTCACGGCACCAAGTGGAGACTGAGGCACTCTACATGACCCTGGGTACCTAGGTACGTACTTGGATTTGCAACTCCAAGGCATAGGTCATCGCCAATCTCTAGGTGAAATCTTCCATGGAAGCCAGCTGGACAACACAACCATCCACCGCTGCGACACCGTCATCCACTCACGGCCTCCCATTGCCGGTCTTCGATATCGACAGGTCGCAACACCGCGGAGTCGCATCCTGAACGGCCTCGCTCCCATCGTAGCGTCGCATCGCACGGCTTCTATCCGACCAGGCCATCCCCGGCGTGTCAAGGCCAATGACACTTACTGCTGGTGCTGTTCGTGATGCCGTTGACACGCGGCGGTACACGCCCCCAGGCCCCCTCGGTCTCCCCTTCGTCCGCTGCAAGATGAGCTCTGACAGGAGGCAACCTCATTACCGATCCGATACGTTGCCGAAAGCTCAAGGGGTGCCCAGGGGGGGGAGGGAGGGTGGCAGGCACTTGCACTCAAATCACAAATCATCAAACTTGAAGATTCGATACCCGATATCCGCTTTCCGAGGGCTGGACAAATCCCAAAAGGACCAAGGAACAAGAGGATGAGAAACCCACACGACAGAGTACGAAACGTGAGGGTCTTTTCGGTGCTGCAGCACTGCTCACAGCGCGGGCGCGCCTGTTCCACCAATACCCCGATAAACGTTTCTGCTCCATGGAACACTTTGAATCCGTCAAAGGAACAAGCTGAGACAAAGACGCCCATCCTGCCTGCTAACACACCAGCAGCACTTGCCAGAATGCGCCACATCCACTCTGCCATGCGAGTCTGGCCGATCAAGAGACACGCCACAAAAGCCAAAGACCGAGAGCACGACGCTATCGCTGTTGGCGCAATGACCTGCCGACCTCCTTTGCCCTACGAAACACCTCCGGCACCCGTAATCGACCATCGAATGACGTATCCAACCTTGCATTCCACAGCCTGTACTGACGACAAGCTCTATTCCACCTCAATCTTCTTCAACACTCTCTGCCTGTAAATCATACGCCATCAAATTGCGTCTTTTCCGCTCCCGGAATTCCCATGCCATGCCCAGTCCTCCATTGTGTGTATCTGACCGCCACAGCAACCTTGCTTCATCCCAGCATGCAATGTCATGCCGCATGCTTTGCTCATCCGTCCTCGC